ATATGTCAGAATTAATTCTTACGAACTGTTCCAACAATGATACCATAGAATTAATCCACAAAATATCAAGATATTTACCTGAAACTCACTGTGAATTTCATGTAGTACAACGGATGTTAGATGCTACTTTTATATATCAAGATAAAACGTAATGTTAGATAAAATATATAGATTATGTATAATTAAGTTATATTTATTGGTTGTTCGTATTGCAAATTTTATGTCACTTTGTGTTATATACAGCATAAAGCAAACCTAATGAAGCTTATATATTATATTTTATTTTGTATTATATATTACAGAAATAAAATATTAAAAGCAGTAATTTTCAAAATAATAACATTATGTAAAAATTTATATTATATGGATTATTGTGTATAATTTACTGATTAAAATTTTTCAATAGAAATAAATTTTCAAACCTAATAAAAATTTTCAGTATCTAAAAAATATCTCTAAAATTCGATTATTAGTAAAGATTCAGATAGAAAAATTTTATATAGAAGATTTTGAAATATGAAGAAACATTATTTGTATAGAATAAAATAATATAAAATATAAATTACTTATTCATTGTATTTGAAACTCAAAATAAAATAAAAATAAAGTCAGAATATCTTCACTTGTGATATTTACAAATTTTATTTTACATTATTATACAAAATTGATGCCAATATATACATTTTATCAAAATTTAATTATCTGAGAAAAAATAACATATTTAATTGATTTATATTATAACTCACAAGATTTTAATTTTGCATAATCTATAAATGTAAAAAACTGTTAAATTCAACATTACAATAATATTTCTTTAAAATGTTGAAATATATTAAGCATAATATGCTATATTCACGTATGTTTTAATACAAAATAAAATAAGTCTTGGCGATAAGTATTGCAGAACATAGTATTAAAGAATCTTTTATACAAGGATACTTTAATGTGAACTGTTCAATCAAAATTTAAAAAAATTTTACTTGAAAGCTTTAAGTAGATTATAAATGTTAACATTATATAATTTATAAGCTAGAGAAATTTAAAATTTGTTATTTTTATTATTGCTTTTTATTTTACATATGTAATAGCGTCACATTAACTTTTTTTTGTTTTCTTTGAAGTATCAAAAATATACTTTAAAAAAAACAAAAATCGACAATATGTTTGCAGAATAGTAAAGATAGAACATTAAAAAATTTTTCACAACTGATGTTTCAAGACTAATATAGACCTTATTAACAACTGTTCTATATCATATAAATAAAACAGAGTTTTTTGTGTAATACATTTGCAATCTATAAATTTATAAATAACAGAAGTAACTTTAAATTGTTTGTTTCAAAACAATAAAGTTATTAAATATTTTTTTGTATCCATCGTAAAGCATTTCTAACATTTGAGAGAGTAACTCTACCGAGAAAACTGGCAATTAATTGATATTCTGGCATTGTGCGTCTTCCAGATGAACGTGTTGATAACAATTGTCGATAGGAACTTTGTTCATTTTCATCATTTAGTGTTTTTCTTAATAACAGTGAACTATTACGGCCTTCACAAAGAACTTTGGTTGTCAAACACAATAGCCACTCCATGATCTATAGTAAAAATAAAATTTTTTAAATATTAATGAGATATAAAATTCGTAATATAGATAAAGAATATAGAAATACATACTTCATTACTAGAAGGTACTTTGCCTTCAGTTCTAAACCATGAACTAGGTGCCCATAAATACAATTGCATTATTGTTGCTGCCATTTCTGTAGTGTGTCTCTGTAATCAAAGAGTATAAAATATATATTATACCATTATATTTTTTTGTACATACAATTTTTTAAACTTTAGTATTTCACAAACCTTAGAAAAATTTCTCGAAAGCATATTATTTATCAAAGCAACAATAATATTTGGAACATCATTTGAAAGTGAAGGAAGATGCTGCTCTTTATAACAATGATTTTTAAGTACAGCCTTTTCATTAGAACTTTCAAGGAATGGATTCTTTTCACCAAAAATTTCATAAGCTATAGTGCCAGCCGTCCAAAGATCTGCTTTAGTATAATTTATACTTGTGAAAGGCCCTGGTTTTGCTGATATAACCTCTGGTGCCATTAGTGCTATATTGCCACCTTTGTCAATGTTGTCAGTATTATAAGGCATATATAAACTATAAGTTTTATCGGCTAAACAACAGCCAAAATCAGTGATTATCAAAGAAGGGCAATTATCACTCTCCTCTGATAAATCAAGTAGTATATTATCACTCTTGAGGTCTCTGTTGTATCATAGAAAAAAAAATGATAGATAAAGATGATTAAATGCATAATAAAATAATAATAAAAATACATAGTGTATTGACATTAATATTAACAAAAAAAATTATGACAAATGATATCATGATTCATTCTTAATATGCTTCATATATCTTATGAAATATCAAATTACTTGAACAAAGATATAATTTTAATAACTTGGAAAATGAATTTAATTTCAATTACAATTGGATACCTGGTAATGAAGTATAGAATCATTTATAACAAGATATAGCAGTGTACCTGTGTGCTATGCCATGAGCATTTAAGTGTGCAATTCCTTCCAATAGCTGAGCTAATAATAGTATTGATTCACGTATATTCACAGTGTGTGTAAATAAATATTCTTTCAAAGTAGTGTCATATCTAAAAGGAACAATTGTCTATGTTCAATAAATTTTACAATATATAAAATTCTATTTAGTTTATTTTTTGGAATAAATACAAACCTTTTCATCAATAAAAAAAGGCTCATATTTCTGCCAGATCCATGAGGATTAATTCGTGCTGGTAAAGCATCAGGATAAATTACCCATGACTCTGGTAAAGCTGGGACTGTATCAGTAAATACAGAATACATTACTACAATATTAGGATGAGGAGGTAACACAGACATATTTTCAGCCATCCTTTGTTCCCATTCTGCTAATTCTTCGTTGTTATACCGATTCCTGGCAGGAATAGTTTCACGATACATAGCTCTAAGTATTATTGTTGCATTTGATTCTGCATCATAATTGAACATCATTTTTAATGCCAAAGGAAATAAATGTACATCTTTATTCTTGCCATTAGTATCTGATTGAATGACGTTTTCAATATGCGTAGTTTCTTTATATCTTGCTGAATATACAGCAGCAGAGCAACCTTTAGCAATGATAGGACCAATTTCAAAATCTTTCAAACTTATACCATCTTCATCGGTTTTAGTTATATTATAATTTTTATCATTTTGAGGCATGTTCCATTGCAATTTTGACATTGCTTCCTAAACACATAGAAATATCCATAGTAACATATAAACATATATTTTATTTAATCTATAAAATTTATCATACACGAATTTCCCAGCAAACTCCTTCCAATTCATCATCTTTCGTTAATATTCCACTTCCTGATGCTAACGATGTACCAACAAGTGCAAAAAATGGAGCAGAATCACCGAACACAAGACGTCTAGCTGCACGTTTTCGTAAATCAGCAGCAAGCCTACTTGTGACTCTTTTTAAAATATTATCAACAAATAAACGTCTTGCATGGGATCCCAAGAACCCAAAATGTCTACCTGTTGTGGAGACATTAGTGCTATTCCCTTGGGGCTGATGGCCCTGGGATTTGCCTAAATTTATTTAAAAAAAAGAAAAAAGATTAAGATGTTACTAAATACTATTAATAAAATGTTTGTAAGTATTAGTCATTCATTTTAAATTCTACAAAAAAATAATACCCATAAGAATTACTTTTCTACATACTATTTTCTGTTTTTGATGCTATACATCTTGTTGGATATGCACATAACATATACACAATATATGGTATACTTATAATAAAGTATTAATAGAGCTATATAATTATGACCATAACAGTTCAAAATTTTAATATTTTCTTGTCAAAATCTTAATGACCTTGATAGAGCAGGTTTAAAATAAACAAAAAAAATGTTTTCGTGACTCACCTACTTGCACAACGTGTATCTTGTTGAGGTAATTCTTCGGATAATCGTTAGAACATAAATTTTCTTTATTTCTAAGGGTACGTAGTAAGACCCGACCATTTTGTATGAGACGATAAGTTGCGGCCCGAATCGACATCTCTCTTGTCTCTTGGGCCGAAAGAGCCCAACGGGCTAATCCGTAAGAATACACCTTCACGTTAATAAATCAAATTTTTATAATAATCAAAATTATTTTCTAAAGGATTTTTATCGTATAACGATAAAGTGTGTCAAAATGTCACGTTACATTTCACGGTTCGTTCGTTACGTCTTTATTACGTCGTTGAAATTGAAGAAAGTTCGATATACCTATCACTATATTTTAACATATATAGGTGTATGTAATTAACTTAGGAACGTATTTATAAAACAAAGTGCCACAAGAACGAAGAAACACACTTTATTTATCTGAAAAAATTTTATTTATCTACTTTTGATTATAATGTATAATTTGATTATAATGTATATTGGAAATTTAAAATATTGTTATTTTCATACAAGGAAAAAAAAGAAAGACAAATTAACATAATGAAAATAATTAATATCACTTACATTATTGTTGAAAACAATTTATATTATTGTTAAAAGAGCAATATTGTGACAGTACCGCCATCTGTACAAAACTAGTAACTGCATTTATAGACGAGGTATTAATCATTATATTTTATATTTTATTTTTCATACTAATATTTATTCGATTATTATTGAATATCAATTATTAAATTTATTATTATATATTATATCTTTTTATAATTATTTGTAGTACAAGGTGAATACAATTTTTAATAAAAATACTTTGTTCGGCACTTTATATTTCTGAAATAATTATAACATTACGGTGCGCGGGATTGTGGCACGATATTTGAATTCAAGTTAATACATATACATTTTTTATTACGATATAGAAAAAAGTAAATGTAAAATTATATCTGATATTATTATATTACGTTTTTATATGTGAAAATGCATAAAAGAAGCATCGAAATTATGAATGAAAATATACTTTTAGTTTTACATCATTATTCTGCATTTTTTTCTATTCTTTTTTTTTTGCACATTAATATTCACATAAAAATCCCGTTCGATTCAATAGGAGCTATACCGATTAGACTTTGCATAATATGCAGATCTACTATCAATTGGATTGCAATTAAAAAGTGCATCACCCCGTGTTCCATCAGGACAAGTACAAACAGCAATATGACGCCTTGGCGTGCAAATGGCATTTGGTCCACACTCATAACCAGTACATGGATTTTGACAAGTGAAATCTATGCAGGCTCGATTATCGGGACATTCATTATCGCTAAGGCATTCTCCTCTTTGACATACTTTTAGAGCATTACCAATGTAACCAGTAGGACATGTACAAACTGGCCTTTCTTTACCTGTATTATCATGACCAGGAGTACAAACAGCATCTACACCACAAGGATTTGGTTCGCAAAGATCTCCTGAAAATATAACATGTTAAACGCTTATATTAAAAAAAATATTTTAATGATAAAGCTTTTGAAACTTATTATATACTTGGTTCAAAATTTCTGCAATACACAAAAGGATTCCCTGTCATGTGTTTTGGACAACTGCATACAGGGGTAATATCACGTAAATTACAATCAGCATTTACTCCACATACTCCGTCACAAGGATTTACACACTTTTGATAGAGACAAGCAGGTTTGCTACTTGGACAGTCAGAATGAGTAGTACATTCTGGATGGCATGAAAGATATGGATTTCCTAACCAATTCTATAAAACCATAAAATACATAGATAATGACAAAATTAATTATTATTTCTATTATAAGCAAACTTACATGCGGACATGTGCATTTGGCAAGATGATTGGTAACATCGCAATTAGCATTTTTACCGCATTTACATGGACTTTCACATTTAAATAAGGATGAACATGCTAGATGATTAGGACATTCATCGTCATTTTCACATTCATGACGACATCTAGATAAAGGTGATCCTTTATAACCAGGAAGGCAAGTACAAACTGGTATTTCATTAATTACCTCACACTTTGTATTTTCTCCGCATGGACTAGGTTTACATGCTGCTTCTATATATTAAAATGAAAAACATTTTATCAATTAATAATAAAAATATTAATAAGTATACAATTATTTGTTGCTCTTGATTATATTCATATACATACGGGGATCAGCAATATGACAATTGCTAGAAGGATTGCCTGTATATCCTGGTGGGCAATAACATCGAGGTATATGATTTTTAGTCTCACATGATGCATTTATACCACATAAACCAGGGCATGGATCAACACATTTATTATTTATGCAAGTTTTAATCCCATCACAGTCTTCATTAACTAAAATTGAATTTATATTTTAAATACTTCAGAGTATTAAAGAATTAATTAAATATAATAAAAACAAAAAAATATCATATTTTTCAATTCTGGTGATTTTTTGTATAAAAATAAAATTAATAATAAATATAATATAATAAAAATTAAACTTATTATATTAATGTAATTCTTGAATCATATACTCACTTAAACATTCAACACGTATACATTGTGAAAGAGGATCGCCCATATGAAGATTAAGACAGGAACATACGGGACGCCCACGACTTATTGTACATTTCGCGTTGATTCCACAAGTGTAATTATCACAACCAGCTTCGAAAGAAGAAAAGAATTATTTTAAAACATGTTTTAAATATTATTTAATAAAAAGAAAGAAGAAAAATATAAGAGCTTTACCAGATGAGATTATCCTTGATTGCAAGTATTGTCTGCCGTTGACCATTATAGCGAACACTATTAGTATTAGAATTCGAAAATATTCCATTTTTTTAATTTATTCTTAATAAATTCTTTAATAATTTATACAAAATATACAGTAATTCTAATTATTCTAGAATTAAATATAATATAACATAATGAAAATATTAAATTAAAATTCGATGATCGATATATAGATCCTTTATAAGATCCGTGCACGATGAGCAAATACAGAGAATTGACGAAATGACACAGCGATCGACTCAGGTGATGAAGGTTTAAAATGAAAAGCCCACTTTCCAGAAACTTTAACACAACTTCGCCCGCGCATAACCCTGACGTACGTTCGTGAAATGAGTATTGAATTAGCATAATTTGTTCCTGTTATACGCCTACAATTTTTTTCTTAAATATCAGTATTATATTAATCATACAACCCACTGATGTATCCTGCTTAACATATGACAAAACAGTCTAAGAATTACAACTATTTGAAGTTGTTCGTTTATTAGGAAGATAACTGTTTAATGTTTAATTAAAAATATAGTTTTAAATCTATATTGTCTATATTCCTGCGTTATATATATATATATGTATATACTGTAGTAATAATAAAATTAAATTTGGGGAACTAACGTGCATATAAAAAACATATATTTCTAATAATATTAAATATAATTTCTAATGGTATAATGCAACATTATAAATTTTAATTGGTATTTTATCAAAAATATTTTCAGAGTTTGTATTTTTATATTGTAATTGTCAATAAAATTATTCTCTTTTTCTTAATAATTCATATAATATTTTTTTAATACGAAAATAATTACTTATTCCTCTCAAAGTAGATATTTATTATTATATTATGGCTCGATTCCTTAAAAAGCAACTTGCATCAAGGCCGCGTTGAATCATTTCAATGACGCATTTTAATGTGGCACAGGAAAATATCAGAGGAATAAAATTTCTTTTAGATCAAATTTTTGCTTTATTGTAACTATTTTATTTATACCTTTTATCAAGTGGTAAATGGTAAATTATTTTTCTTGCTTGTTTTCTAAAAAAAAAATATATATGACCAAACTGTAATTAATAAATATTTAACATATGTTCTATAATATATAAGTAATATATAATATCAAAAAAATCAGATTTATAAAGTTAATTATTAAATTTAACTAAATTAATTAAAATGAGTTGATATACTCTATTTTATAGAGTAAAAGATTATTATATCATACATACATTAAGTATTATCAAAATTGTTGTACAAATAGAATAGAAAAAAAAATAGATAACAGTTACCTCTTCAACATTTTGAATAATTTTAATAGTTATATGTATTAAATCTATACAATATTAAACGTTTCAAAGCTAGTCAACGTTTTTGGTAAATCATATGACTACTGCATTTAAGCCCATTTTATAAATATTCAGAGACAGTAAGTTGTTATCTTTCAGAATTATTATATAAATATAACATAAATTATTTCAAATACGTTAGGTATAAGCTTATACCAAAGGATTAAAAATATTTGTATACTAATATTTATAGAACGATCATTATTAGTGTTCTTGCATACTATAAATGTTCTTTTTTCTTATACTAACATTCACTGATGTACTTTATTTTCAATTTTATTGGGTAAAAGTTTCAAAAATTCTTCATAAGCAGTAGCGAACGACTCGTCGTCTTCATCTTCCAATAATTCTTCATACTCCTGATCTATTTCTCTAAAATTTCAATTTAATACAAAGTAATTATTAATAAAATGACTATATTGCGAAAACAGCAATAAATTAAAATTTTTATATCAGATCAATTAATACATACGCTTGTTTTTCAGAATCACTAGCATCTGTTGCTGCATCCTGTAAGAATTGACTTTCTTCAGCAGATAGTACTTTACCATCAGGACCATACAAGACAAGTTCATTATATTCATGTTGTATTTTAGTTGAATGTATAGGTTCTGGTAATGAATTTTGACTGGATGAATTATGACTATCTCGTCCCCAATTCCCATTACGCAATTGATGTACACTATCGATCATGCGACCCACACTTGAATCTGCTCTTCCTTCTGTGACTAATTCTGTTAAAGCACGCATCATATTTTCCATTTCTTTTCGGCTACCTCTTTTATCTCTTTCTAAAGTATGTCCTGCCAGCTAAAAAAATAATCGAAATTAACATATTAGAAATTAAATAAATATTAGGACAGCAATTATTATTAATTATTTATAAATTAATATACTTTAAGTGCTTGGCATATATGTTTAGCAGAATTTGATCCTGGATTTTTCAATACAATAGAAATAAGTTGTATTAACTGTTCTCCTAATTCAAAAGCAAGCACATCCCCCATTTGGACAACTAATTCTGCTAGGAATAATATCAATCCATGGCATTTCATCTGTTCTTCTTCTGTGTGTTTGTCATTTTTTTGCCAAGTAGAAGCTTGTTTCTGTGTTTTATCCTTACATCTATTTAAATTATAAAAATAATAAAAATATATAATAAAGAAATTAAAAGTGAAAATGAGTTAATATTAACAAATCTGTTGTTTTATATTTAGAGCTATTTTAACTTAAGGCACGGGAAAATATAAACTTGCAGTGAATGTAGAATTTCTCTGAAAGGTTTTTGTTCTTCTCTTGTCATGGCTGTATCAAGACACATAAAAATACGAGCACCGCTATATCGGAAGTTTCCTTCATTTATACTCTAAAAGAATTAAGTCAATTGTAAATAGTATACATTTATGTGTATGAGCATTAGCAAAAAAAAAAAAAAACAAATAAAAGTATTATATACCTGTACTATTACAACTTCTACAATTTCTTGAAGTTCAGTAGGAGATTCACAATGAAGCTTGATATTATTGAGAAGTGGTGGTACTAAAGATGCAAAACTTCCAGGATTCATAGTTAAATAATGCATCACACTACTTAGCTGATGCATTGTATTTGCTAAATTTTGTTCCTGATTATCTAGCCGTAACTCCTGATTAAAATAATAAAAGATAATAATAATAAAATAATACAATAACTTTTTTCAATTCTAACTACAAAGCAACCTTAAAATACATCTATACTATCATAAATATATGTATTATAATTTTTAGAATTTTGTGTATTGGCATATTAATCAATATGTTGTTCAGATGTCTGTGATATTCGAAATTTACTTACTTCTTGTTCTTCTAAGTGACGTTGTCGAGATGAATGTATGGAATCAGAAAAATGCTCATAGTGTTGCCTCTCTATTATCTGTCTATGTTGTAATTGTGTTTGACCTGGTAATTGATGAGGTAATTCTCTTGCTAATTGAATTCTATTTTGGACAGAATGTTTGGGCCAAATCATTGATGATGGTTGCTGCTTCAAATATAATAAATATTGAAATATAAAAATACTATCAAGTAGAAAATCTATTACAAATGAAATTAGTAATTTATTATTTATATATATATATATATATACATATATACCATAGGTACAACATAACTCTGGCATTTAGGAACAAATTCAGCAGCATCTACCGATAAGGTTGAATTTTCAACAATACTGTTAATAGATTCTTGTGATTTGTTTTGTTCAGAGCAGTTAGTCACAGTAGAACCTGTATAAATTTTCTCATTGATAAAAGAAAACAACATTTAAAAATGATATTATGTATAAGATAAAAAGTATTTATATTATAATACGAAACGAACCGACAGCTGGATGTGCACTACCGGCATAATGTGGTCTTCTTAATATCTGCTGTTCTTGCGTATTTTTTGGCATTGGCACCCAAGAACCACGACCTCGTCCTCGGCCGCTTACACGTCTTTCCACATAAGAATTGCCAGTTTCATCTTCACCGAGACGATCCATTTCGTTCAACAATGGTTCTTTGCTTATACTTTAAGGTTAACAAATCTAACCTTATTGGGACTTAAATGTCTCAGACGTATTTAATCTTCGGCATCAGGCTTTAAGTTGTACGACTCATATCTTCGTACCGATTGCCTGACGCAAAAAATTATTGTACTTGATATGTTAATGCCGTTATATTTGATAAACGTGCATAGACTGACAATCAGAAGACTTCCAAATCATAGCTACCAAATACTATAAGACCGCGTTCGTTGTTAAACATTAAGGCGGAGATTCGTGAGACAGTAATATAAACTTTCTAATATAAAATGATGCGATAAATTTGGACCTATGAATTTTCACAAATATTTTCAAATCGTTGAAAGTTCATTAAAAAAGATAAACTTTAAAATTAAATATTCTATTAAATATTACCAAAATGTATGCAGATGTTGTATCTTAGTTAACCACGAAAATACATATGCTAATAATTAGAGCAAAACGAAAAATTTAATGAGCACAAAAAATAATTATTACACAATAGTTTTTAAATATACTTTACCTTAAGAAAACAAATAGAGTTTATGTATATGTTCCCACAGAACAAGTGAAAAGTATGTTCTTTTCTTATTCTGCCACAACGCGAAGTACTTGAATCTTGCAACCTATAATTTTCAGATGACTGAAAAAATGCAAGATCGTATATACAATATTATAATAAAAATAGAATTTATTGAATATCACTTTTATTCAATATGATATGAAAAGATAAAAATTCAATATGATTATTTAAAAGAATGAAAAAGTATGAATAAGATGATGTGAAAAAGAAGAGAATTTTACAAGCGGTCCCATGGTGTAATGGTTAGCACTCTGGACTTTGAATCCAGCGATCCGAGTTCAAATCTCGGTGGGACCTTGGTCTAAAATTTTTTTTGTTACTTTTACATTAATATTATTTTATTCAAAATAAAATTCATAATTGCACGCGCATATTAAATCTCTACATTAGCCGTAAAATAATATATTAAACTAATCATAATAATTTTCAAAACTTGCAAATAATATCTATGGAAATACAACTGCAATAAATTTATACCCTTACCTATCTCATCTGTACGAAACATTATAAACATATCAAATAAAATATATCTAAGATATTTTTTGCTATTATATTATTCGTCAAGATTAATTAGAAATACGATTATTTAAGGTGAAGGAAATTTTAATAATGTGAATTGCTTGAAATCAAATGAAATATATCTATAGAAATTTAGTAATGGTACTAAAAATAAAGTAACTGTAAAGAGGAAGAAAAAGAGAAATGCAGCGCCAAAGAGGAAGAGAAAGAGAAATGCAGCGCCAAAGAGGAAGACCTAAAACTAAAAATTTCAAGAACAGAATATGATAGCGGTTATGTTTATGTTATTTCAATGCTTACTTTACCAGATGGCGCGATGAAATTAGTGAAGACATACAATATAGTATTAATATAATAAAAATTATTAAAATTATTATGCTCGTTCAGCAGACTGATATTAATTCCAATCCACAAAGTGTATGTTATACACCGTTAAAACATCAAATTTTGGTTGAAACAAAACTGCGTTCTCGATTTTGGTGTCGTCCCAGTGTACCCGAAACGTTTGTACGAGAATTTCTATCGTTTTAAATTCCCTTTTATCCGGCTGACAATTATCATACTTTCTTCTTTCTTCTCATGAATGGTGAAAAAACTTATTTATTATCAAATGTACTTTTCCGATTTACTAATTCCAACGATTTCAAGAAATAATTTTTGTCTTCCTTCAACGAATGAAAGAAGTCATCGATGATAGGTCCGATTGTGCATACATATATTGAAGATGGAAATCTCATTATCAATGGCGATTGCAGAAAGAACATAAGATCACATCCGCTGGTTATGCGAGCTAAAATATTTATAAATTCTGATGTAAAATACAAGATGGAAACGGGGTCGCTAACTGATCGCGCCTGGCTGGAGAGAGTCCAGAAATCAGGCAGAAAGCGCGGTGGGTAGTCGGCGTTATTGAGGTTGTCGATGGAAATGCAAATGGCTGTCATCATGATGTAGTCGGGTCTTATTTTTCCTTGCCTTGAGACACAAACAATCGCGAAAATGTTGAATACCCTTAGAATACGATATTCGTAATGGCGCTACGGATGAAGGTTAAGCTTGCGGTTTTGTGTGCGTGAATTAAAGGCGGGGTAAGTGTACAAAGTACGCGGGAAAATCTTCCTCATGGCTGGATACACGCGCCTTCCAGTTAAACTCATCCGGTAACTGATCCGAAGTACGTAAGCGCAAACAAATAGCAATTAATCGATAATACGTATTTCTTTCCATACGTAATCAGTTAACATAAGTAAATCTAAGGTATTTCCTGTACGATTATTAATTAAAGTGATTTATGCTTATCGTAGTACACTAATAATCACGAGCGGAAGATAAACAATAGTGTCTACCGTGCCGCGTGCTTTCGGGCTTAATTACACCATGATGCGTTCTTATTCAGTTTTCTTGAATATATATATTTTTGTGTATTTCTATCACCTTTATTGGTAGATTAAATTTTTTTTTACTATCGCGTCGGTTACAAGTGCGTAGATTATTCGAAGAAACCGTGCACGTGTTTCTTTAACCGATCTGATACATGTTATTTCACGTTGCGATTATATGTATGTATATTCGAAATGTTAAGGAAATAATTGAAATCAGAATATAAATTCATATTTTGATAATGTTCAATGATCATAATGTAATCTGTGTAGTACGAGTTACTGGATTATTCGAAAGCTGAATTAACCTTTCTAATTGAATATAAGTTAGTCATGTATAACAATGTATTTATGAAACACATAACAAATGTTTTATAAAAAGTTATTATATTCATTAAAATAATCTTAAATCGTAAAGCTGAACAAATTTAAACCGTTGATCTTGATAAGATAACATTGATAATAATGCTTATTTGACCTTTCAGATTTAGTAAAATATCATTTGAATTTTATGAAAATTGTTTTTAAAAAATATTACACAATATATTTTTATATAGATTTCTTTACACTGTATAATTACATCTTGTATATATATATATATATATATATATATATATATATATATATATATATTTTTCTTTTTTCACAGGAGTTTATCAAACAATAGAGAATAAGTGGTAACAGCGATAGTTATGCCAGCTGTAAGTGTTTACGATCCTGTTGCGGCAACACTCCGCCGTACTTTAGAAGGTAACCAAAGGAAAGGAACAGAGGAGCTATCTACAAGTTTACTTGTTAGCGCATCAAGAATTCTTCAAGGAGAAGTTCAATATAAAGAAGTCGATGATTATCAGGCAAAAATTTTGGATCAACTCAAAGCTAAATATATTGTCTTGAGTTTACCAAATTCAGATAATCTAGAAGATACAAAATCTAAAGATGGTACAACGTATGTAAAAAAAAACGAAGGTATGAGTAAAGGTCCTACATTGCCAGAACCAGCTGTTACTTTGTATTGTTCCAAGAAAGTAAATCTAGGATGGAGAGGAACATTTCCAGTAGGTGCTGGCATGTATAATGTTGGTAATACTTGCTATTTAAATAGTACACTTCAGGCATTATTTCATGTGCCAGCACTTGTAAATTGGTTATTATCGGATTCACATCATACTTCAAAATGTGAACAAAATGGTAAGTTCTTTATGTATTAGTTTTAAATAATACATTTACAATTAAAACTAAACTGGAATGTTATAAATTTTTAAAACCTTAATACCACTGTTTTGAATGGTGTTTTGATAATAGGATAGTTTTAGATGGAGGTGGAGAGTGCCTTACTTGCGCAGTGGCTAAGACTCTACAATTCAGTCACCAGAAGTCAGGATGCGCCATCAAACCATTCTATATATATAATAAATTAAAACGTAAGCAATATAAAATGTTTACTTACATAATATAATGTTTATAAAACAAAAATATTAATTAACATTGATTGACATGATATACGACAATGTTTATAATTACAGTTATCTGTCGAACTATGGTACCAGGACAACAAGAAGATGCTCATGAGTTTTTACGTTATTTATTAGAAGGAATGGAAAGAGCTTATTTAACAAGACGCAAAGCAGGAAAGTTAGACAGTTATTCTAAAGAAACAACACCTATCAATCAAATATTTGGTGGTTATATACGCACTGAAGTTAAGTGTTTACAATGTGGTCATGTTTCTACTACGTTTCAACATTTTCAGGTAAGCAGATAACTACTCATTCAGAAAATAAACGCAAATTAATGAAAAAGATATAATAAAAAACTTTCTTTATATTACATAGGATTTATTGGTTGATATACGTAAAGCAAGCACATTGGACGAAGCGTTAAATAGTTATTTCAGTCGAGAACAGTTGGACAATAACGACTATAAGTGTGAAGCTTGTAAAAGAAGAGTACCCGCGACTAAACAATTTAGTTTAGAACGAGCTCCTAAGGTTTTGTGTGTTCAGTTAAAAAGATTTAGTGTTTTGGGAGGGAAAATATCTCGTCATATAGATTTTAGACAAACAATAGATATGGGTCCTTACCTATGGAGAGAACCAAACGAACCTTTGCTGCAGCTTACTTATAAACTTATGTCAATTGTTACACATATGGGCCCGTCAGTAAATTGTGGGCATTATACAGCAGTTGCACAAATTTCAACTGGTCAATATTACTCCTTTGATGATTCATGCGTAAGTATAAGTATAAATATTGCAGTCATAAATCAATAAGTAAGTATATAACTTTTCAATAGTATTATGTTTCTTTCTTAATTCGTAGGTTCGTCCAATTAGTCTTAGCAACGTATTAAATACAAATGCATATATAATGATATTTGAAATGGAACCTAATCAAGGTCAAATAAATAATCAACAGGCAGTTAAGATGAATGGCATGTCATCTGAAAAAAGTGTATTATCCTCAAGTCCTTCTAGTAAATCTGTAAATCCAAAAGCATCAACATCTGACATATATAATGGATCTGTTAACGGTTCGCCTATCAATAAAAGTGGTATAGAAGGTTCAAAGATAGGTGCTCAATTATCCATACAAAAGAATATAGGACTTCAGCTTCCTCTACAGAAGTGTACAAGTATCAGTGGAACACAATTATCACAAAAGTCACAAGACAAATCTCAACCATGGCTTGCAGTGCAGTTTAAAAAAGTATTAAGTGGAAATAGTTTAGTACCATATGATGGATCAAGTGATGAAGAAGAGATAAATTCTTCTGTATCAAACAAAAGTCGTGTAGTAACGAATGTGTCTACATTGAAAACAAATCTTTCCCTTACTGTAGCTAATGGTGCACAGAAGGCATCAACAGTAAAAGACTCAATACCTAAAACAGTTCCTACCTCAAAAGAAACACAAATATTAACAATGAAACAGTCTAATAATTCAACGTCTTCAAGTCAAAGTAGTTCCGTTCAGTGTACGAAAGTACAGAATGTTTCTAATGGCAATAGTTCATTAACTGCCTTGAAACATCAAAATGGTAAATCAGAAGTAAATGGTAAGATGGAAAATAGTAGCAAGGAAAAGTCTTATCATCCAATTAGAGTAAAACCAGGCCAGGAAGAGAAAGTACTTACCAAAGCTGCAAGTAGCAGTATAAAGGGTTGGCAAGTATCAAAGGATGCATTTTCTCCCATATCAAATGCAACCCCAAATGGATGGTCTGTGACTGACAACAAGTAATATATTTTTATTTGATTAATTTTTAATTGTATATTAATTTTGTATCTATTTTAATGGTGTCTTTTAAAAAGATTAACCTGTCTTTTCAATAAAATATAAGAATAAAATTATGAATTAATTTACATAATTTATTATATTTGAATGTATTTTTCAGAGAAGATTCAACTAAATGCAGTCAAAGCAATATAACGCCAAGTGCTGCAGCATTGAGAGATTTTAATGGAACAAATCGTTCGGACACTGTCTCAAATTTATTAAAAATGTCCCATCGTGGATATGGCAGTACCTTAGGTTTGTATAATCTAATAATAATATTAAGCTGAAGAGATGAATCGTAGATAAAATGAAAAAGTTCCAATGATTGGAGTGTATAAATAAATCGAATTTTCTTATTATTTTTTTTCATAGTAACAAATTGGCGTGGCAATAGATGTCATTTAGAACGTGAAGTTGATAATGACAGACGAGAAGAGCGTAAACGTCACATTAATGCGGACGATGAGGAAGCAGATCGAGGTCGAGTAAAAAAAGTTAAAGAACATAGAATGTTTGGCGATAGAATAAGTACCGGATATAATTTATTCCAAGAGTATCAAAATGGGAAAACTTGGAATCGATCAATTAGCGGTTACCATCGAGAATCTTATTATAATGCTTCCAATAATACGCGGCTACGACGTAATAGTAATTATAGGCATCCTCGTTATAGATACCACAATAATTCTCGCGTACATTGGCAACGTGGATAAAAGAAAACAAAAAATTCTATAAAATAGCCTCTACGACATTCTGATGTTATGGGAGATATGGTATTAGTTCGAAGTTGCTGATCGATACACAGTTTCACTGTCTATTGAAAGTAAACTGTCAAAGCCTATGTCTCAGCGCTGATTTAGATTATTAATTCATAAAGTATCTCAGTGTCAGATATATAATGTGGTTCTTTTATTGCATTTTAACTCTTGCATGTTCCTAAAGAGTTCATAACGTGGTTTGATTTTTTCTTCTTTTATTTTAAAGATGATATATGACTAATGATAAGGAGGTTGAGTATCGATAATACATATATACCAATTTTGTGTTCAAAACAAATGTAAAGAATTCTTATCATCATTATTATTATTATTATACATTTTACTATATGAATGCTTGAGTTTTACTTTTATGTGATATTTAAGTATAAATGCATTTCATAAAATTTGTATCATTTAAAAAATGTATTATTTTTGTTTTCTTTTTGGCTAAATTGAAGTAGCTTCATATATAAAAATAAATTTTAATTCGTATAATTTATAACTACAAGAACGTAATTGTTTTTTCTCAAGAATTCAATATGCTTATTGTTGATTAATAATGGTTAAAATATAAAATAATCTTGAACTTATTTTTATAATATATATTCATTTTTTGAGAAATATGAATTTTAAAAGAATTATTACAAAAAGATAGTAGTTGGCTGAAATAACACTTCTTTAATATTACAGATATTACATTTAAATACTAATGCAAATAAATAATGCTATCCGTCCTTCAATCTTTACCAATGATACTCATCTCCTCTTCTGTAATTTATATTTATGTGCAAAGAGATTATTTAATGTTTTAGTAAGAGACACACCAATCTGAACAATTGCTATTTCTTGCACGATTCCTTAATAAAAATTAAAAATTCCTTAATAAATTCTTTTTTAAAATAATTGTGGTATCTATTTCGTTTAAAAGTAATTTTGAATCAATATCTGTTAATATTTGTGTGTAAATTGTTTCTCAAATAATAAACTAGACTCAATATTGAAATAATGTCCATAATGGATTGAACATATTAAATATTAGCTTTAAAAGTAATCGTAATAAAATATTAGTTCAAGAAAATTGTAAATTACTTAGATTCGTAAGTATAGGACTTTTTAATGATAAGAAACAAGGATTAAGATTGCAAAACTATAGAGAATTTGTTAAGTCAAATGTGAAGTAGATCCTGTCTGCTTTCACTTACAATACCTCGTTACATCATTTTACGAATTAAATACTAGCCAAAAGATGTCATTAGTATCTCATATTGTAAATCGCCGTAGAAATAACGATCATAAGAAAAAAATGTCAACTTTATGTACAAGATATAAATCTAAAAAAAAAATTCATTTGTATTTGCCATTAGAATAATTTACTGAAATAAAACAAAAGTATCTAGAAAAAATTGATAATCGTATATCTTCAACTATTATCCATAGAAACACAATTTTTTTTTCTCTCTTTTCTTCTGTTTTAAATGATCTAATGTACATTGGATGAAAGATACTAATCTGATGGAATCTCAAACAAATATCATTAAAAATTCAACCAATATACTTTTAAAAATTCTTAAAAAAAATGTAAGTACTTATAAATTACTTATACATTAAGATATGATAATAAACAATAAACGATACAGTAAAACATTACTAATATTGTAGTATCAGTTTAGTACAATTTCGTTAAGATTGTTTACATTAAGTTTATTTTTTAAATAAATTACAATAAATAGACATGTTTACTGCAGGTGACAATTCTTAGAAATGAAATTGATTATGGAATACAATTAGATTATGAATTAGAGACAAAACTCGAATGGTTTAACAAAATAAGAAGCAATTTTGCTGATAAGCTCAAATCATTGTGGAGCTTAGCAGAAATACATTGTCCAGTAAATGATGAAATTAAAAAATTTGCAAATCATATTTCTAATTTATGGACGATCATGAATCAACAGGTAATTTAATTTATATCATATTACTTTCTTATTTAATAGTATAAATATTATTAGATGCCTTTTTATGATACAGATTTGCAAACAATATTCTAAAATTCAAATCATAAGTCACACACTACCAAATATTTCATTGTCTTCTCTTCTTGATAAAATTAGAAAAGAAGCCATTATGGTAAAGACAAAATTACAGACTAATGAACTGATGTGTAATTTAAATGATGTAATAATGGGATATAACTTGTTTAATGAAATTGTAGAATTATTAAATAATCTTGAAAGATATGATAGTAAGGTTGAGTATGCAAAAAATTTGATGTTATAATTGTTGAATTGTGTATATGATTATAATGAATATATATGTAATCAATTTTAGGTGCAACAATATTTAATAATGTCAAAAATGGTCCCGTATATTCTTAAATTAGAATCAACAATTGACAAATTTGTATCAAGTACTGCATTATTACCAAAAAATCAATTAGTTTCCTCAGAACTTAATGTTTTTTTATTTGTATCCAAACTATTGACTGGTGAACTTATGGGTAATGAAATTATAAACCCATATTATATATTAGCAGAAAATATAATAAAAAAGCCAGTTTTTATAATAAAAAGTAATAAACGAAAGATCGATGTACCAGTTTTATCCACGGTTAAATTGTTAAAAAGTACTATATAATCTGTAATTTTTAATATTATTCGAAAGTTGAGTTAAAAATTTAATAATGAGTTTTTTTTATAAAATAAAAAATATTAATTTCGTTATATTAAAATGAAGAATAACAATTTTTGAACTCTTCTTTAAGATTATATATTTGGCAACATATTAAATATACAGCTGGATAAGCCAATAGCCTTTTTTGAAATAAAAATATCTATGTCCTATAGATATTACGAAGAATATATGCAATTTAATAGTTTACACTTTATAAACATATGAAAACTAGTATAATATCAGTAATAATGCATGATAATAATTGTAAATACACTTTAAAATGTGATGAAACTGTATTGTTACAGTTTTTATCTCAAAAATAGTCATTAACAATAATTTAAATTTAATATTGTATTTCGAGAAATATAATAGTTCAAAGTATAATGAATACTTCAGAAAATGAGAATGAAAATAGAAAGATGAGGCATAATATATCAAATCAATTATATACTAACGTTTGTTTAACAACAAATAAAACGGTCCTTATATACATGAAGTTTTCACGCATTTATATCAGTATTTATATTAAAAAATGCCTTCAAGATCAGGAACAGAAGTCGGTGGTGCAAGACTTAAAGAGAAGTTTTTAGTACGCATAAATTCTGGTGGCAAAATCTGTTTTCTTTCCTACAATATAAAAAAAAAAAAAAACAAAACAAAAAATAACAGACGTATGTAATAAAAGATAAATATATAGAAAAAATATTTATATAAATAGTTAACAAATAATAAAAAGATGCGAATGTTTTAAACATAATTTCTAACGAAAATTTAATAAATGATTTTAACATACCAGATGTGAATTACTGGTCCGTATAATATTAGTAACAACAGGTGCCCATCCTTTGGCATTCAAACATTTATAACAAGATCTGGGTTCTCCCAAACAGTCTAAATGATATCCATGTCCACATTCAAAAATTGCTACGTAATTCGTACTTTGGCATAGAATTTGTCTACATATAGGACAAATAAGGGAAATGCTTGCACAAGCTTTTCCTGCATCTCTGCACAAACAATAAATTTCGATATTAAATAATGTTATATTTATTGACATTAATGTAACTAATGATTAGTTGATTGTATTAATACCTCAAAGATGTTTTCAATGCCTTATGGAGTTCTAAGCTAACCAATCGTGCAGTAGTTTCAACCAGAGTCTGTTCATACTGAGAGTGAGTTAGTACTCCCTCGAGTAACTGACGTATATCACCTATCGTTCCACTTTTTGATAGTGGATGTTTTAAAATTTGTTCTAGTACAGTTGATAGTGCTGTTGTACCACTAAGTGATTCTAATATAATTTTTAACAAATTTCCACTCAATTTCTCAACTGTAATTTGTTACTTATTATTTTTATATTGTCAGATAATCCAGATTACTCATAAAATGGAGAATAAAAAATAAAATGGAGAAAATTATTTCAAATACCATTTTCATTGATACTGTCTGAATGAGTTTTCAATACAACTTCTACAAGTGGCATCCAACTCAAGCTTCCAGCAGATCTCCTGCACATCCCTGCTAATTGCATTGCAGTAATAATAGCTTCTTTCTCAAAAACTTTGTCCTTACAATACTAAGAAAAAGAAATTTTTTATCCATATAAAAAATAATAATATAATATATATTATAATAATAGTATATAATAATGTTATTGTTATGATTATTTATAATAAACATAATATTTACTATTATTATAATACTGATATTATAATAAATACCATATTTAAGTGATTTTTAAATTGATTTAACAAAAGATCAAAAGCTTCTTGATAATTTCCTAATTTTTCAAGCATTACTGCTTCAGCATCTATATGATTTGATTGTTTTACTATTTTTAATGCTTCATCTAATCTACAACCATGTGGTCCATTTATATGATTGACTACCTGTGTGTGAAACAAATAATTGAAAATAATCCTCTGACATGGTTATTATTTATATCACACTTACATTTTCTGGTTCTATCTTACACATCAGTGTTAAATATTTTTCCAGAAGTTCAGTTGACAATTCTGGACTAGTTTCTTCTTCCTTATATTGACTGAGTTGATATAGAGCTCCTAGGAGAGCATATTCTAAACTTATAGTACCATCAAATTTTTTGAGAATTTCAGGAATTTTATTTTGCACTCGATTCGCAATAATAAGAGCAAATTGTGTAACATTTATTGCCACCAGAGCTGAAGCACTAGTTACTAAGACCGGATATAATGAAGCTGCAGGAAGTCGCTCCAACCAAGGCCAGATATCACAATGTCTAGTAGGATCAAGTATCATGCACTTGCAAACTGCTACCCAATCCTCTCTGGCAGTATACAGCAACTCTGCGACTCGCATACTGCAACATTACATGCTGCGGTACAAATTAATACATATAATGCTAGTAGTATCATTAGATAGCTATTGTAAATAAACGTAATATTTTCCAAATATTTACAAGAAAAAAAAAATGAAAAGAATTTCTTGAATGCTATATCTCAATTTGACCACATTTTTTTGTTAATAAAAATATTAAATACATTTTAATATATTTATACAATTATTAATAACTAAACTATACATTTTTACTTACAAGTTAGCTTTCTGTGCAAGATTCAATAAAGTAGTGTCTGATATGTTGCGCAATTTCTTTGAGTTTAATAGTCCTAACACTGCATTCTCTTTTTCAGATTTAAGATCCCTAGATGTGACAACAGATGAGCAATCGCATAATACTTCTACTATTCTAATTAACATATTTGGTTCCAAATTAATTGTATCTCCTGCTGCTTCATTTACTATAAATATTAGAACTAAAGTCCTTTGTTCATCCGTAATATAATCTGAATTCATTGGAGTAAGAGGTGTACTGGGTAGAACAATGCTCAATAAAATATCTATGAGTCTTTGTCGTTGTCTAAGACCCATTTCAGAGGTAAATTCTGGTTCTTGAAAGGCAATGGCGATTACATCTAAAAAACCTTTTGCGTCAAAACGAAGCAGCGTCCTCAAATAAGGATATTGTCTTTCTGCATCACTTGCTAGACTGGAATGTTGAGAGAGAAGTGCTCTCAATATATCTGTTTTTGCCCTCTGTGACATAACCTCAGGAAGTGTATCTCTAGGGAAACCGCGTCCCGCAAGACAACAACTAGCATAAACCAAAAGTGCATTACCAAGTTGTAGAATATCTCGAGATAATGATTCTTTGGTATTTGTCAATGCATTTTGAAGAATAGGCACAAGCTGGTGTATAGGTGCTGTAAAATCACCTAAAGCTGCTGTCTGAAGATGTATAAGAGCTTCCCATAAACTTCTTCGGCGACAAATAGTTGTTATCTGTAATAATATAGTTAAAGAATACAGAATTTAGTTGATTAGAAAATGTATTCATTTACCTGATGAATATCTAAGCAATCTATATCTAATAAAACGGCAATTGTTTGAAGCGAATCCACTTTCCCTTCTTGATCATACAAGATAAATAATTGTTGAACTATTAAAGGCGGTAATCTTGGATTGAGACTTCCATTCAGCAATGGACTTTCAAGAGCGCACAAATAACTTGATTTGAGCCCTTCGGTTTCAGATACCAAATCCCATAATCGTCCAAATAATAATTCTGTATTTTCCAATTGTATACAGTAATCCACACAAATACTGACTATATCAAATTCTGTATTATCAGTCATAGAGGAATGATTCAATTGTTCCATATATTGAATCAAGACCTGACAAACTGTGTCTCGAACTATTTGTTTTCGCCGTTGTTTCGAGCCTCTAAGACCAACGACAGCTTTACCTTTATCTTGATAGAAGGAAAGTCCTAAGGCCAAAGCTTCTGGAAAACGACCCTAGAAAAAATTGTATTTTATACAAAACAAAATTTTAAATATTTTTTGATAAATATACCTGCATTGTTAGGTGCTGCAATCGTTCTGTCCATGTTCTTATGCATACTGCATGTAAGCTTTTTGTACCTAATAACAAAAGTTGATTTCCAAATGTTATAACAGTATTGTAACAAGCTCTTTCACCAGCTAATGCCATTGCCTGCCAAAAATAATTATATTGTACAGCAGAAAAGAAAAATTATTCTAACAATTTTTAGATAATTATAAACAAAACAAATTTTTACCTTAGAAACGTTACCACCTGTACATAATCCTTTGAAATGACTGGAAGCATATGAAATACAAACACGGCTCATATCCAATGTTTCTAAACTATCTTGCGTTCTTACATCTAATAAATGTAATCTTTCTTGAGTATCTAATACAACTAAAGATCTTGGATTCAACCACCGTAAATTGCTTATAGTATATGGAAATGACATTCTGCGAAGAGGAGATAACTTCACTCTGGTACCAGCTTCAGTAGATACCTTGGTAATAGTTATATTTTAAACGTGAAATATTGGATTAAATAAATAAATATAAAATTGTTGACCATATAAAATAATAGTACTTGGTAAAAATGTACTACATCATCCCGTGCAAGAGCCAACACTGGATCAACTACTCGAGATGCATCAGCTGCTTGTATTACAACTAACTGCCAAGAAAGTTGTGGAGGTGCAATTGCAGCACCTGATAGTGAATGTGTTAGAAGAACTCTCATTCTGGGTCGTATGCAAACAACAATCACCTATAAAGCTTCATCTTATATAATGAATTCAATTTATAAATAACAAGTAATAAAAAGAGAATACTAAAATGAACAAACCTTAGATAATGTGGCCATTGCTACTAATGTGTAATTTTTTAATGGATGAGAAGGTAAATTATTTAGTAATAAAGGTTCTAAAGTGCACACTTCACCTCTAGAACCACTAAATAAGCATCTACTATCACAGCCTCGAACTCCCATAACTCTTGTAAAATTTAATTCAAATACAGATCCACCGCTATCGCTACAAAGTGCAACTTTTGAAGAATCTGTAAACTAAAATAAAAATATAAATTAATTATAATAAAAAAGTATCCGATCGCAGAATTAATTAGATAAATAAGCAATGTTTACTTTAACATGTAATACAGCCGTGTCAAGTGGATGAACTTCGGTAAGTGTTCTTAAAACTTTTCCATCACTACTATCGATCATTAAAATAAGACCTCTAGCAAAACCAGCCAATATTCTACTTCCATCGTGATTAAAACACAATGCAGAAACAGATCCTTGATATCTGGCTTCTTGATCACACCATCGTAATGTTTGTGATGAATCAAAGCTTAATATTAAACCATGACTAGTACCAATTACTAACATATTTCCACCAGCAGTAACTGCACTTGCTAATCCAGCATTGACTCTTTCCTGAATCATTTTTTTCTTCACATTAGATTTTTATATTTAATATATATTAAAAATACTACAGATTTGTTTTAATACTTACACTTGCTGATACAATTTGTGCAGAAATACCCTTTAAAATTACGTGTCTTAAAATAGCTCCTGACGGTGGATGCTGTGAAGCTTTGGAAGATTTATTGAGTGAATTCAAAGATAAATGACTGCCAACACTGGTTGTCTCACTACTACCTAATTTCTCAATCGATGCAGCTCCAAGATCATCGTCTGTTCCTGACAATGACGTACAATCAGGCTCTGTTAATATACTTTCTAAGGAGGGTAATTCTTCCACAGTTGGTATGGCATATTCTGCATGATCTAACTGAAATATAATTTTGATACTGTATCAATCTGTACATCAATGGAGGCAAATCATTAATACTGTACAGTATTAGTAACTTTAAATACCTACAAATTTGCTTATATATAGTACAGTAGTAAAAAATCGCTCTAATACAATAGACGAATATACATAAGAATAATTCAAAATATAAACTAAGTAATAAATAATCAAACATTGTAAATACAATTAACCTTCAATCGCGCTTCATACAATATAACGTATTTTTTATGCAATATAAAAATCCTTTCAGTATATTACATATTTAATAACATTTTTTTATAAATATAAATAAATTCTATTGTTTACCTCGATAAAATCTAAATTAATAGCTTCTGTTGCAAGATACTCTTGAGATCCAATTTCAGATCCCAACCCATTTTCAGCCATTTTTATTTTATCTGTCACTTTACAACAGATATGTAATCTTAAAATGATTTAGCGCCATCTATTCTATAAAAGCACAGAACTATTAATGCAGTGAACGGATATAAATACAATGTACAAAATTATGAATTTAACATATATAAAAAAAGAAAAAATAGATACAAAAAAATTTTCTTTTGAAATACTTAATGAATTATAAAAAATAATTGAGGTCAATATATCTCATGGATAACTAATTTTTTATTAACTAACTACTTATGAAGTACTTTACTATTATATACAATGAAATTAATGGGTATATTAAGATCAACGTTTTATAATTTTATAGACAATATCATCTAATTACAATTATTTTATGAATATATGCACGATATATTTTGTAAATATATATGCTACAATAAATTATAAAAAGATATTTATGATTATATAAGATCCTTTAAACCAATAATCCTTCTTTGCTGAGTTTTCTTGAATACGTCTTTTTGTTGATCTAAATTAGAACGCTTGTAAATGAATTCAATTGGCCTGGTTAAATGAGATTCCAAAGTCTGTAAAAAATAGTACATTAAGATATTTTAGTTATTAATAAATATAAAATAACCACTACAACTGTTACAATATTTTTTTTATAATTACCTCGTTTTCTATATGTTCTTGTACCTTCAGAAGTGAAATTAATTTTATTATTGTTGGTTTAAGATCATCGTCGATATTTTCCAAATCTTCTTCAAGTTTCTGAATCTAAAATTTAAAATTATTTTAATTAATATTCTTATTTTGTATTTTAAAGTCAATTAAAAGATTATGAATAATTTAATTATAGTATATACATACGACGTCTGAAAAATATCTTTCTTGGATTTTATAACTTCCTTCAAGTGAATTTTTCAATATATAGGCAACATCGTTGTATCTGTTAAGCTTACTGTATGCAAGAATTCTCAAACATCTACTATGAATATGACGTGCTCTTATTAATGACATTAATTCTAAAGTAATCTCTGGAGAATTTTGTTTTAATGCTAGAGCTGCTAAAAATGTTATAAGTTTACGCAAAGGTGGAAAATTATATTCAGACAATTCTTTCCAACTTTGTAATAGATAATTGTATGATTCTAGGGTATTCTAAAAAAAAGATAAAATTTTAAATAATTAAATTTTTGTATCTTGTTATAGATAAACCATTAAAAAAATGTACAGACCTCTTGATAACAAGCAGCAGCAGTAACAATAGTTGGCAATCTTGGAAATTGTTCACTATTAAGAGAATTTTGTTTATATATATCAAATACTTTCCGTACATCACTGTACATTTTATGGTTATACAATGATGTCATCAATACTGTGTAACTCATGCTTTGATTAAAAAATGATGTTAGATTTGGATCAAGAAATGTAGACAATGCTAAATCTGGTCTGTTCACATAATTAAAAGCTCTCATTATTACAGGACCGAATACGTAATTACCAAACCTTAGCTCTTTGTTTTGAGAATTAAATTTATATATCATTTTAACAAATAAGTCTAAATCATCAGCATTATCGGTTACTAAATGCGACATAGCTTTTAGATCTTCTGTAAAAACAACACTGACTTCATTATTAACAATTTCTTGCATTTTTGTACGAAATGAAGCTTCTACATTTGTAAATTGCTGACGCATCTGTGATCTTATATATTCATAATTGTTCATGCCTATTGTTTTATCCGTGAAAATAGAACGATTTATTCTGAAATAGACAGCTCCTAAAATAAAATCACAATTTAATTAAAATAAATTTTAAAACCACATGATATAAAATTTGAGGTTATTGTAGCATTATATACCGCTTAAATTATTTCTTAATGTAGATTTGAAAATAAGTGGCAGATTAAACTGAAGAAGTCTTAAATTTAAAGCCATGATTTACAAATATTTTCTATATAATTACAGCAATTCTTTTCTTTATTTTTAACTTTTAATTATTAGTATCGGATAAAGTAAGATTATAACAAACCACACACGCGAAAAATACGAAGGAAAGACTAGAAAACATTTCCCGGAAAGACTCCGTGAATATATTGTAGTTTATTAAATACTATATTTACTACAATCAATTTTATTATATTCATGTAAAATGATAAAATCTATTACAATAAATTACAACTTGTATTTTAATATTTGTAAATTATATATATATTATGTAACTTTGTAAGAATAAATTGTTTATTTGATCAACGAGATATCTCTCTGTTAACATAGTCATGGAATGCTTAAATCTTATTGGACGATATCTGACTATGTTGAGAATAGAGTGTATATAATAAATTATATCTCATTAGTTCTTTTTTTTTAATAAAAATTATTGGTAAAAGAAAATAATTATTATTCGCTTGCGATCACGATTTCTTTAAATAATATAAAAACATTGGCACACATATCAAATAAACGAAAAAAAAAAAAAGTATTATTCACTTTTATTGATCTTTTCAGATAACAAATTTTAAAATTGATAGAATATAAATAATATTTTTCCATGTGTAATAATAAAGTTACTTTTATTCATGGAGAATAATACAACCTGTGTTTTTGTTCGAGATAATATACCGCTCAAAGATTTTAAGAGGTTTTTAATTCCTTCGGAAAACATTCATCACCAATATTCAAGTATATATTTTACAAGATTAAACGCATTAAGGGATATCGTAATACAAAAGGCAAAAACAAAATGGGGTAAAGTACTTAAAATTGATTCATAATTGAAGATAAATATCTTTTAATGAGCTCAGAAATGATATAGATTAATTTTAATAAAATCAAAGATAGGAAATATGTATGTGTATAATAAAGGAAAGATAAAACATGTTCTTTAAAAAAATACGCATCTTTAAAAGAAATAAAAAAAAAATTTTTCGTTTATAGCTTTTGTACTAACATAATTTGCTCTTTGCTCATATTTGTATTTATCAATAAAGATATTGTCAGAAAATGATTAATTAAAATATATAAAGCAGACACAAATAAATATTTATAAAAAGAATTTCTGTAGATCTTTGTTATTTTATTTTAGCTCCGTATAAAATAATAAATGTTTCAAATCTTATTGAATTTCAAGAAAATGAACCCTGTATCATCACAGGAACTCTTTATAAGCATCAAGAACTTAAAAAGTCTGCTTTGCAAATGCTTTCAAAAGAACTGCAATTTTGTCCACAACCATTACAATTTAATTATGAATCATTTAAGAATATCTTATTTTTGGAAGATGAAACATTAAGAGTAAAATTAACTGGTAATCATATGAATATACAAAGTATCGTAACTGGAATTGTTTGCGCTATGCTTGGTCGTCGACAAGAGAATGGAACATTTTGGGTATTATGAGTACATATTAAAACTATCATAAATTATTTGATTTGACCAATTAGATTAATCCTATTTTAGGTAGAGGATTGGTGTTTTCCTGGTTGTTGTTCAGCCCCTTCTACATCTTGTATATCAATAAGAAAAAATAAAATGATATTATTAGTTTCTGGATTATCTTTGGTAAATGATATAAATTCATTTGGATTGACTCTCTTATCCGAATGGATTATAGGAATGGCTGGAAATTCGTGCGTACAAAAAGAAGCTGCACATATTGCACATGTTATTATAGCTGGTATTTATGATTACTTTAATTTATATCAATTAGTATTTATTTGTATGATTAAAATTAATAAATATATCTCTATGATCGCTTAGGAAATAGTGTAAAAGGTTTTATTGAAACATTTAATCATCAAAATTATTCGAAAAAACAAAAATATAATGAAATAACGAAGGAAACTAAGGTGGCCACTTATAGACTTGATGAATTTCTTAAATCCATCGTAAAATGCTGTTGCGTAACATTAATGCCTGGTGAATTCGATCCTGCATGTCATACATTGCCTCAACAGCCATTACATCCTTGTTTATTACCACAAACAATAAGGTATAATATTAAACCTATTAAACACAATTATGGAAAAAATAAGGAACTTACTTTACGAAAGAATTTACAGATATAAGAGTTTTAATAGTGTTACTAATCCTTGGATTGGTTCTATTGGATCTCGTATTATAGCTGGATCTAGTGGACAGCCTATACAAGATATTATGAAAATTGCTAATCTTATAGAAAATAGTCCTTTAACGTGGTTAGAGAATACGTTATATTGGCGACATTACGTACCAACGGCTCCTGATAAATTGTCATGTTATCCATATTTTAAAAATGATCCCTTTATCATAAAAGAATGTCCAGACATATACTTTGTTGGTAACATGGAAGAATATGATACAAAAGTGATATCTGGTAAGATCATGATTAATTTATAATAGATAAAAAAAATAAATAAATTATTTCAATTTTACTAAATATTTGTCACAGATGAAGGACACATAGTAAGATTAATTTGTATTCCAAACTTTTCAAAAACTCAAACAGTTATTTTGCTTGATTTGGAAAGTCTAGAAACGTTTCCTGTTTCATTTGAAGCTAATTTATGACATTGAGCATACTTCTTTATATTTTATACTTATTTTTATACAATTTTAATTGTATCATATCTATAATTGTATTATTAATTGTATTGTATTATAATGTTGTATTATATATATGTATATATGTATTGAATTGTAATATATAGTTTTTAATAATTGTAATTATTGTATATACAATTATTTTTACTAAATAAAAAATAAAACATAAAAAGAATATGAAGAACAATGAATTATTATTAACAAAAAAATATAATTTTTAATCGACATTCGCAAGGGTATTTTGCATGTTTCATATTTGTATGGGTTATTATATGTACGTAAAGTTTTAACCGCTAGAGAGCGCAAAGAATCTGACGATATGTGAACTATATAATTATAAAACTTATCTTGCGTAAGTTGTGTCGTTTATACAATCTATGATAAAACCATTCGTAACGTTTGACGTGTAAATAGGTGTTACTGTAAGCAACAGATGATGAATGGAACGCTTTACTCACTACTTCTTAGCTGCCTAATTACTTTGGACTTCGTGAATGCATATATTGAACAAAATGAAGGTTGTCTTATATCAGTTTTTTGAGTCACTGTTATTGTTGTCATCGAGTTTGTATTTTTTCTAACCTATTCAAAAATTTGCATCGCAAATAGAATAATTTATAAGTAATGTGTGTATATACATATAAGCGCGCAAACATGTGTATATACACACAACGTATACATATATATATAAGACGCATAAAATCAAAAGATATACCCGAAGATTGGATTATACAATATTTTAGATTCACGTGAACAATCAGAAATAAATTTCCTACAACTGTTTCGGTCTTATGGAGAACGTGAAAGGGAAAATCGCAGGAATATTGATAATGATTTGGAAACATGGACAGGGAGATGGATGCCAGAAAGACTAGGCGATCCTACTCCACCTCCTAAAATATTACCTAAGAATGAATATTCGCATGATGATTATTCACAGAATTTTATACATTCAATGCCTATGGGTATAGTATCTACACAATGTGATGATGCTAAGGTATATTGATTTATAATAAAGTTTTTCTTTTTAATTATTTGTTGCTTTTTAAATTTATAACTTGGATCTGTATTATAGACAAATTTAACTGTTGATTGGGATGGATCGCCAGTGAATTATACCTGTTACAATAAACAACGTATTATGCCTAACATTGAAATAAATCCTATATTGTACTGTGAAGATGTTCCAACAGCATACGTGGTAAGATTCTATTATTATTATTATTATTTTTTTTTTTTTTTTTTTTTTTTTATATACTTTTTGACAATAAAAATTGGATTTACTAAGGTTTTTGTTTAAATATCAATTAAAATATACTTTATTTCTATAAACAGGCTGCTCATAAATGTATGAATGAGAAGATAGAATATGATGATGATATACCGATCTAGTAAGTATCTAACATATAAAAGAAACATGTTTTATTGTCAATATGCAAATTCCCTTTTCCAGTGGAACGCATAGAGCTTTATGGCCTACTTATGGAGAATATAAATTTTTACCAAAACAAAGATGGCTTCATAGTATGGAGGTAATTATATTTTTATTAATTACAATTCGCAAAGTATTTAAAGATTGATATTTCTTTAGCATGGAGCAGTTGTTATGTTATATCATCCATGTGCTAATCCATTAGAAGTAAAGCGTTTGAAATCTTTAATTAAGGGCTGTCTTCGGCGACATATTATAACACCGTACAATCTTTTGGACGAAGATAGAGTAAGTTCAGAGTTAAAATTAATTTCAACATGTAATCTTATTAAATAATCTTATTAAATATAATAAGAAGAAATGAATAGATTATAAAATAGATTCGTATAATACGTGATAATAATTTTACATATTGTTTAATCGATAATGTATCTGCATATTGCAGCCTCTAGCATTATTAACATGGGGTTGTAGATTGACAATGTCGTATGTCAATCCTACTATAGTAAAACACTTTGTTCGTGTAAAAGCTCTACGTGGTCCAGAAAGATTATCGAATGATGGATATTTTCAAGATCAACTTCTTTCTAAAGCAGAGCTTGTTTTTGATAAAGATGATTCCATACTTTGTCCCTATTAAAAATCGACATGAGATTTTTTATGCGATTACAATATATCATTCATTTTTGACAGTATAATATGTGCGACTTTCTAAATGTTTTATATTTAATATTTGCCCTTACATTTAGGATTCATTTTCATGTACTTTCAGCATTTTAATAATTAGGCTTTTAGGATAATAAAATTAATTTTAAAGCGCTGGTTGTGTAATAAAATTTATATTATTTTCTTAATAAATTGTTATACATGTCTAACGAGGCATTCCTACTTTTCCTTTCTTAAGATAGGAGCGGAAGAAAGAAAAGGCAAAAAAATGACACCTCCTATTCCCGATATATCATATATTCTTCACCGTTTGAGAAGATCATTAAATACATTGAACATCGTGTCGGTTTTTGAAATTTTTTTTTTTTACGGGCCGTTATCTATAATTGTATAGTAACTTCACTGCAGTGCTGACTATAATTTTTGCGGATACTTATCTTTAATTATATATAAAATTAGGGTAAGATAAGTAACGCTACTATATATCAGTAATGTAAAATATACTACCCGACTACTCAATGGTAAGTCGTTAACGTAAAAGAATATAATTGTACAGTAAACGCTTGGCTTATTTTTTCTTTTTTTTTTTTTCTCTTTCGTAGATGAGTGGCCTGAAAATTATTCTTACATCGTCGGTATTCTTCGGATGAGATTATACGAGAAGACGAATCCAACGAAATCCTTTGGAAAGCAAATCAAAATATCGTTTCGCACAAGATTATATTTACGTTTGAATAAGGATCTTTATTATTCATTCATCTCAGATAAATGCTATATGAGAAAAGATTTCGATCCAAAGGGGGTATGTTGGATTCGTATTTCGTTGGTCGACTGATCGTTATCGCGCGATCCGTATCTCTATAGAATCGGAGATAAACGGACTAGAGGCCTACCGTTATACTCATAGAGGAAACTTTCCTTTGTGCTTGATTACACGATGAAAGGGCACATTCACTTGATCACATATTAGCTCTACAGCAGTAATAATCGTTACCTGCTAATTGAAACCACCCTTCGTGATCGTTCGAACGCCCCAAAGCCGCGAAGAGTTTCTCGTTTGTTACGGCAAGTAACGATTATATAGAAGAGGGTATTCTTAACATTATTGCCAACTTTGTACAGTGTTAATAATAACATTATAATAGAGAAAACGAAAACGAAATATATTCGTATCATTTTTGTTCTTACACGAGAGAAGTCTATAGTGCTCGTCTGACATAAAAGTACGAGACGTAAATACGTATAGGCAGAAAAACACCGTTGATTCATTTAATATAAGTGATCATTAATACAATACCTTTATTAATTTTTTTTTTTTAATTTTTTTTTTTATGAATCTCACCTATGAAATACCTACAATAAAAAGTATTGATATCTCTGTTACTCTTGCACGTGCTATGTGTTGTTGTTTTTTTTCTTTTTTTTTTCTTTTTTTTCTTTTTTACTTTATATATACTTCGCTCGCTCTTTCTCTCTCGCTCGTTCGTTCTCTCTCTCTCTCTCCCTCTCTCTCGCTCTATCTCTTTCTTTCCTTTTTTTTTTTTGTTTTACTTCAATAATTTAAATTTATCAATATAATCTCACTTTTATCGCTGAACGATCGAGGAATCGCCGGCGTGCGACTCTCGCTTTGTCGTCTATGACTTTCTTTTTTTTTCTTTTTTTTCTTTTTTTTTTTTTTATTTTGTTTTCTTCTTATCGTCGTTTGTCGCTTCATTTGTTCTCTCTTTTTTTTTTTTTCCTTTTTTTTCTCTACGTGTGTTAATATTTTCGCATTAATTACGATTTACATTTGAAAGTGGAATTGACACTTATAAGGTTATTGAAATAGCCTCTCAATATAATAATTGCACCAACGTGACACGATCTTGCTTAGACTCTCTCTCTCTCTTTCTTTCTCTCTCTTTCTTTCTCATACATACTTATACAAAGCACACCCTTTCGATCTCTATTTTACTGTCATTCATTCGACATTCGCACGCAATTCACGAACATTCATTTACATACATTGAACTCTTTTCCATACTAATCTAACTTTTCTTTCATTTTCTCTCTTTCTCTCTCTCTCTCTCTCTCTCTCTCTCTCTCTCTCTCATCTTCCACACGCGCGACTATTTATTTAATTATTTATCTATTTATTCTTTTATTCACCCCTATTTATTTTATTTATATATTCGGAAATGGCTGATGTAAGTACATGAAGATCTCACTTCTAGATCAATTAATCCCGCGTCACTTCTCTCTTTTTTTTTTAAATTTCTCGTCGCCGTACGTGACGAACGACGAACAGACGAACGGCGTTTTAGAAATAGACATTTCCAATATATACGCATGTATATTTTTATCGACGAAATAAAATGACTAATAAAGAACTCGTCAAATGACTAATATAATTTTTCAAATGCGTCGAAAGTACGCTTCATCTTATTGCCGCGGAAATATAAACTTTCTCATAAATTCAATGCAAATGTGAAAGATTCTATTTAGGATAGAATTAAAAAACCCTTAAAACGCTTCGTCATCTTTTGATCGTCAATATCGTCGGTCTTCTTCTGATCATATTTTCGTTGCATTTATTCCCGAAACGAACTCGTTCTCCTATTTTCCCTTTTTCTTATATTTCAAATTGGAAAGATTTACGTGCGCTTTATGAATGAGAGAACGCGCGGAGTTTACCTTTTGAATTCTAAATTCGCTAAATATAACGACGACTTTTACGGACTTTGGATTTTGAATATCGATCGACCTCTTGGCTTTTCGACCTTTTTCTCCTTCTCTTTTGTGGCTTATACGGATGATATCGATCGCAAGGACGAGCTCTCGTTTTCTCTTATTGTTAGGCCAAACCCGTGCTTTGCGCGATCGATCGTCAGCGTATCGATAATAATAATGATCGATGCTACGTTTACGTCGCAGAACTTATATAATACATATATTTATATATATATATATATATAATAATAATAATAATAATGTGTAACGATAAGAAATAAATATATATATATATATATGTATATGAATGTATATATGTATATATTTATACACATACACATGCATATCTTATATCATTTCAATTCCTATTATACGAAGATGACCGCTACACGCTGCGCGCTGAGCTATAATCTCGAGTTTTCTTTTATTTTCTTTTAATTTTTTTTTCTTTCTTTCTTTCTTCTTTAAGGCTTATGAGAAGATGTTCTCGAACTTGCCGACATGTCGAAAGTTTGAATGAGTCTCTTAAAACTTTTCATCGACTAATCCCTTACTCTGTTCTCTTTATCTATCTAATCTATCTATCTATCTCTCCTTTACTTTCTCTCTCTCTCTCTCTCTCTCTCTCTCTCTTTCTATTACGCATTTCAAATCATTCATACGGATCCTCCATTCGTCGACTCGTTCGAGCAGCAATAACGAGTTAACTCGGCGTAATTGTGTATATACGTACGATGATGATTGAAAAGAGGACGGTCGGATGTCGGTGACGTCCTTGGCGATATACACATGTTTATATATATATATATATAATATATAAAAAATATATATATATATATACACGTATACATGTGTACATTGCCAACGAGAAAAGTATGTTTCTATTTTCTCAATTTGAAAGAGATCGATGAAAAGAGCTTATTCAAAGTAGACCATCGCCAATGAGACGCTTCGAAAAGAGACTTCGATCGTACAAAAAATTGACCATTTCTTTTCCTCTTTATTTTTTTTCCCTCCTCTCTCTCTCTCTCTCTCTCTTTTTTTTTTTTATTCGTTTTATTATTTCCTTGATAGCGCGTATCGCATAAGCGGTAAGATAGAAAAAAATCAAATTCTTTTCGTTGTTCGTCTTATTGGCAAGATCTATAAGAATTCGGACGAAGCATCGCGCTTGCGTGACGATAAGAAAAATTATAAATTTTTGTTGTAATACTAAAGAAATATTTTCAGTATTTCATCGGAAGTCAGCATGATTTCATTTTATTTCAGACCTGAATTCCGAGGAATTACTTAATTATTAATAAAAGGATAGAACCGAACGAGGTTCCAAATCCTTTCTTTGCATTGTGTTATTAATGTCTTCATTATAACGGAGAGTATCGTTTGGACAACGAGTTTTGCATCGGGTCTGTCGGATTTTTCTGATCTTTTCTCTTACTCTTTCTTTTATCTTTTTTTCTGTGTGTGACAAAGGGATTGCCTGGTATCTCTCCTTTCTCTCTCTCTCTCTCTCTCTCTCTCTCTCTTTTTTCTATCTAATATCTTTCTAATCTCTCTCTCCATCTTTCTGCCGTTTCGTTTACTCGCATTTGGATTAACTGGGTAAATAGATTATAATGCGGCTACCTAATAACTAACAATTATTATGTTTTCTGTACAATGCAAGGTGTGATCTTAATAAGAGCAATTATTCACTATTCAATAATCAATATTATTATCGTTTATAGTTAATATTATCATTATTACAGAAACGCGCACGATATCGTTTCTGCATTTTATGTATATATGTATGTCATAATTCGCTTGTCATTATACCATTTGAAACATTAACCCATAATCTTCTGAATGTATGTACTTCAACGTTCATATAATATATTCAACAAAACATTAACATTAACGCCGCTCGCTCCCCGTACTTCTTTCTTTTTGCCGCTATAAGATATATGCTACTCTTTTCTTCTCTTTTTCTCTTTCACTCTCTCCCCTTTTCGTTTTAATTTCTTCGACGTAATTTACTCAGTTCGCCGGTGAGAATAGCAGGCGTTTTAGCGAGAGATGATCGTTATTTAATATAATATAATATAATATAATATAATATAATATAATATAATATAATATAATATAATATAATATAATGTAATATAATATATTATCTTCATCGCGATCGTGTCACCTAACTATACTTATATGCATGTATGTATACACTTTGCTTGCATGTACGATTTATATGTCGCGTATTATGCATTTTTGCGGTAGTACGACGCACGAAAAGTTAAAATACAGCTCGTCAATGGGATTACCTTGAGTTAAATTTTTTCTTTTTCTTTTTTTCCTGTCTTTCTCTCTCTCTCTCCCCCCTCTCTCTTTTTCTTTTTTTATTTTACTGAACTTCTTTTGTAATACTTATATTTGTATTATTATTGCTGCAGCTTAATGCCATC